TCATGTCCGTCACTTGGTCTAAGGATTTTCCGGCCACTTCGATACCGTTCACCTCAAGTACTTCGTCGTTGACCGCCAGAAGGCCGGTGCTTTCAGCCAGACCACCCGGAACCAAGCGGCTAATGAAAATTCCCGGCAATTTCAGCAACCCCTGAAAGGCAAAATTTTTTAAAGTTAAAAACCTGAATGAGGCAACCTGAGTAGGCTTATAAGACAAATGGCAACCAAAGAAACAGACCAAATGTTCAAGAACATCCTTGGTACAACAAACACCTTTACCGTTAAACAATTAGTGGAAAAATGAAAAAAATGTAAGTCATTTTTGTGCATGCCTTCGTCCACTAAGAAGCATTCAACGGAGAGTGGAATCAACGAAATGCAGAGGGTATTTGCAGAGCATAGCATCGATACACGGTATATTAACCTAGTGAAGGAAGCAAACTCGAGATGCACGACGAATTTAAAGCTGTCTGCCCCCTCTCATTTCCTTATGTTAATGATGAAAGGTGTAAAGTATGGAGAAAAAATTTCTGCCAGACCTTCCGCACTGGCTTTGTAAACGACATTTCGTTGGATTAACTGGAAAGGAGGAATAAAAATCAGTGGACAGAGTCTAAGGATTCAGAAATTACACTATGATGATTGATGCAGAAAGTTCCAATCAAGTTCAACAAATGGTAAAGAAGAATTCAACAAAGAAAATCGTACTCGGACAAAAATCAACTGCAAAGTGTATGCGAAAAGATTCGCTGCAGAAGACCAGGTAATGCCTAATGGGGAACCGAAGAGCATAGATAAACCGTACGTTTACTTGAGCTGCAAATTTACTATACAACTCAAATTTAACAGAGCGCTGAAATCTCCGGCAGACGGACGGTAGATTGGCATGCGTTCAGTTCGATCAATCATATTCAAGTCTGAAGTAGTCGTAGAACAACATGGTCTGTCTTCGACATAGCAGTGTACTGACACCAACAACGCTGCAGGCAGCGAAAAAGGACTGGCAATGAAATGGACAACATCGAGAACCTTTTCACTTAAACCACAACGGCTGTGCTAAAAAATATACATCCTGCCTTACTGTCGACAATTTTTCGAAGATCTCGAAGAATATAAAAGCGATATGACGAAAAAGGGACATTAGTCAAACTCAGACGGATTTATTCTTAAACTGAGCTAATGTGAGAAGATTGTGCTAATTCCTGTATAAACTTGGAACCACGGTCTCATCAACCTTGCTAGAGAAGGACCTAATTTATTCCAGGCGCCGGTTACCCGGTTAAAAATGAAAACTATTTTGATATGGTCGTTAATGATCGGTTAACGTGGTTTGGTTATATGGCATAGGTCATTAATAATTTGAGGAAAGCTTCTACTTCTACTTTCTGCTTGCTTTGAACCTCGCTGGCAATTTACAAGGTGCAGTACAGTATAATATCAGTTTTCATTTATGCTTCTGCAGTCTATCTCAAAGCCTTAATGAGAGGTGATCTGGAACTCTAACGGTGACGCATTACCGCAATCACGAGATAATGGATGATTGCGGTATGGCCTCGTGACAAACACCGGTTAAATCTCCTTCGCTGAATAGATATTGTAAGATACCACCCAACATCAGCCTCAAATTCACCCAGATACAACAGCTTGCTACTCTATAAGTTCCGCCACATGAGAAAACTTCATTGTCACAAAATGAGAATTGAGCTATATGAAAAATCGATGCACTTCACTTAATCCGTACTTTCATGAATCCTCCTGCCTTAAAATGTACCCTCTTGCTGTTGTATGCTGTACATACATAGGTAGTGAAAATAGAAAGAAGCATCTTACTGCATAGCATTAATAAATTCTTAATATTAGGCAATAATGAATAGGAAGGAGTTAAAATTTCGTCTCTAACGCTGTAGTTAAACAAATATAAACATGAAAAATGTCATTATAGAAAGTAGGGAGTGTAAAAAGTGACAGGTTGGCCACGGTTCAGTAAAAGCAGTCAGTGACGTCAACTGGCGCTATCGGGATCGTATCGTAAAACATACTCACATACTTACAAAAAACAGACTACTTCGAGACTCGCAGAGAAAAATCCGAAAAGTAGAAAAAAACGGATGAGTTGTTGTTAATCCAGCATAATCCATCCGAAGGCTAAATATCTGTAAATCAAAGAAGGAAACAAGAACGAGAAATTACGTTAACGCCTATACGGTTATTTTAATAACCTAAGGATATAATTGAATAAAATATTAAAACGCAAGGATATCCATCTGACTGAGATGGATTTTGAAAGCTTTAAACGAAAATGCAATGGAAGAATAATTCTTCTATATGACCAAGCATACAAATGAACGATGACTATCACCATCGCTGACCTGCTGAGTTACGCGAACGCTGGTGCCGTCGCGGATGTAGAAACCGAGAGGTTTATCGCTGCCGTGCTTACACAGCCGGACGCGGCGATGACATTCTGGCACAACGTCGACGTCGATAATTGCTGACACTTGTCGGAAGTCCTGTGGCATGCTGATGTCGTATGCCCTGGAGGGCAATGCGGTTCCGGTAGCACCAGCCAGGAAACGGCTAATGCGGTTCTTTTTCTTGATCGCATCTAAACCATAGCCGTACCTTTCTTCGAGGCTCTCACCCTTACGCTGCAATAACAGCCGCAGTATGGGTCGAGCTGAGTCAATTGCTTTGCGAAAATTCTCGTCGTTGTTGATCGGCAGCAAGTCACCATGAGGATCTGTGTAGCATAGCGTGAAGGGGATTTCACTCAAGTGGTGAAGCTGTTCGACCAGCTTACGAAACAACTCGACGGATGTCAGAGAAACGCGCGCCACTGAAAACCGCCGAAATTCAGCGTCGAATTTACTCTTCACTTCCACCAGGGGACATACTACCATCGATGACAAATTTTTGACCATATTCACGTTGATGACGCTATTGTCAATGTTCGAAGCAGCATATACTGCTTGAGGCGGAGGAGGCGATGGCGGTGGCGGAAGTGGTGGCGGCTGTGGTGACAGTGACGACGACTGCGACATGTCACTGATCATTGTTTGCAATTACACCAACAGCAACAAGGTAAAACGAACGCCGCCGATAATTAAGTAATAAAAGCTTAAAACGATGACGTGTCGATCAACGTGACAAACCTAAAACAAAAACGACACTTGACATATTTGACGTATATCAAAAGATGATGAAAACGCTCGTTGCACTAATTCAAACGTTAAAAGCAATAACCACATTTTCTTACTACTTCCTTACCGATACATTCACTGTCGAACTGCAGGTATATCTGTTAAATACTAAAGGTGAAAATTATTGCCAAGACAGTTCAACCACCGGCAGAGCATCATACTCGCAATCTGTGGAAAAACCACGGGTTCGAATCCTGAAACACCCACGGGCTATTCATTCTTTCAACACAGATAAAGGTGCATTACTACATTACAGGGAGACCTAGACTTAGACGATGCGCCTAAACACTGTCTTTAAAAATAATATGGCAAGCCTGATGTAATCAGTGATACAGTAAAACGATTATACAAGCATCATAAAAAAGTGGTTTTACATTTACTGTGCATCATGAAAGAGCTGGAAACGAGAAACTGAAATCCTTTCACAAAAAGCCAACCGTTAAGGTAGTAGAAGGATTTTCTGGAAGGCTGCGTGGTTAAAAACAACGCATCGATTTTCCATGGTGAGCTATAGTGATTCCTTTCTCGGAATGCCATCCTGCGAAC